AAAAGCAGCGGAGGCTCGGAGGCAAGAGGAAGAGGAGGAGAAGAGAAAGCAGATCGCCAGCCAGAGCGAAAAAGTGACGAGAATGAGGAGAGAAAAACAGGAGGAAACATTTAGGTATTGTACATAAGACAATGGAAATGCGTCCTGTGGTGGATATTACAGTTTTTCTCGATTGCTTAAACACATTTCTTGAAACTATGCCTCGTATTCTCAAAACAGTAAACACAAATCCATAACGTCTCACCCAATTCCCCAAACATCCTATTTTCAGGTCAAAATGAAGCTCTACACTCAAAACCATTCACTCTTGCTGAAAAACCAAACTTTGCCCTCAGACAGGACACACAAGCCCTCAAAAATACACACACTACAACATAGTCTTACACACTGGTGCTATAAATTCAAAACAACATTTCCAAAACTGGTAATTCATGTTGCTTGTGGTTCCCCCCCCCCCCCACATCTTTTTTTTACTCTCTCCTACTCTTACGTAAGATGTGTGTGAGCATCATATGACAGTAAAAGAGCACACACAAACCTTATTCAAATATGGAATTGTATTGGAATGGTAAAGAGTGTTGGTACATGCCTCCACTCAAGGATACAATATGATGAACAAGTCTAAGAATGTTCCACATATGGATAAAATACCATCATTGGCCTAGAAAGATAACATTCTGTGAGTTACAGTAAGACTATAAAGGAGAAAGGATGCCCTCCCTTCATTGTCACACTCTGCAGCCACTCTGTGTGACTGTACGACTGCTGGCCTTTTCTTACAAGAACATAAACCTCATCAAAGACAATTGGAATTGTTTGTCTCTTATTCAGTGATAGAAATTTGTTTGCCACCACACCTCCCTGAAGGTTCTGATGATGGAGGCGACGGTGAAGCGACTCAAATTTGGCTGTACTCATTACCCAGCCTCCCTCATAGTCATACCATGGACAAGGACATGGCCAACTAAAGTGGCTTGAATTTCATCCGAGACTGCTTGTCTTCTTGCCCTTGCCCTTCCTCCTCCTCCTTCTCCTCCTCCTCTTCCTCCTCCTTTTCCTGCTCCTCCTCTTCCTCCTCCTCCTCCTCCTTTTCCTGCTCCTCCTCCTCCTCTTCCTCTCCCTCCTCGACCTATTGCTTAATTTATCTGTGGACCCATTGTTCCAAAACTCAGTAAACTGATTTTTATCTTTTATAAAAGATTGTATAACCTTTTATCTGTATTGAAGGATCTGACTGATGTGTGTTCAATTTTGACTCTTAGTGTTTTCACCTGGGTAATTGTGTGCTAACTGAGCTGAAGCTGTGCTGACTTGAGTGAACAATTTTGAATGCTAGTGTCACAAGGTGACAAATCTAGCGGAACTAATTTCCGCTAGGAGTGTGTTTCCCCCCGGGACGATTTCACCGGCACACCGTGCTGGTTTGCTTGTTGTCAGTTGCCATGACAGCGGCAGCTGATTAGCTAAGCAGGACCAGGTGCGGGTGTTTGCTGTGGGGATTTGTGATTGGGAAACACGACCAAAAGAAGTAGTTAAAAGGAAAAGGAAAAGGCATTCGAGTGTGGTACTCCCCTGGGAGCAATCGATTCCTTTGGCAGTGGCTTGGGTTTGCTGGGATCTGTGGAGCGGCTGTGAGGAGCTGACTGGAAAGGGGTGCAACGGTGATTGAGGGAGTGCAAGCTGGAACGTGAATTGGATGTGAAGTGAGTGAATTGTGGAGATTGAGTCAAGATTGGAGAATGCCATCACTCGAGGGAGAAAGATAAGTAATGAAACACCGGATCCGTGTGAATGCATGTCTTGCACTGAATTGGATAAGGAATTGTGAAGTGTATTGACCACAAATATAATTACCACTAAGAGTGTGGACTGATTCATCTTTGAAACCCTGATATCTTCTTCTGAGTGTTGAAGACGCTGTGTTCCATGCGGTGCGAAATCCTCTGCATCTCATCAGCTTCTGAGTGTTGAATCAGCGCAACAGTGGAGGGATTGAACATTGGGTGAGGGCTGGCCTTATTGCACTAAGATTTGAGAGTGGATTGCGGTGCCTGAATTGAAGTGTCACACAGTATTGGACTTGACGTGAAGTTGCAGTGTGTGGATGTACATGTTTATTTAACCGCCAGTGTTCTCCAGTTCACATTCTCGCCAGTGTTTGCGGAACGAAGCCCTCAGGTTGGATGTGTATGTTCCACTTCGGCCACCAGGTCCTGTGATATGGGAGAGGAGTGTGATTGTCCTGTTTAACTTGTCCTGTCTATCTAAATAGAACGTTCCTCTGCCACCGCCTTCCTGTGTGCTGCCTGTTCGGAGGAAAGACACACCCCAGCCTTCGTGTCGCCGTGGGAACCACCCAGCCCAGCCGTAAGCCTGATTCCCCATTATACGAAAGGATCATGTTTGTTCTTGTATCAAAGGCTTCGCCTATTTAAATAGAAGATTCTTCTGCCTCGGCCTTCTTGTGTGCTGCCTGTTCAGAGGAGACACACCCCAGCAGCGCTGCTTGTCCCGAACCACCCGCTCCAGCCGTAAGTCCATACTTCACCGAAATAGAATTGAACCTGCACACTTGTCTCTGTCCTGGATTATACAGGGTACCCTTGTCTCTGGCTGGAGCCGTCAAGGGCGGAGAGGCACTCGGGGGACCTCACACCTGCTGCTCAGTGACGCCACGGGGGAGAGCACCCTACACGGAGGAGACCTGCCTACCCGACTACCTACCTGACTGGCAGCGAGTCCTCCTCCTGGACTCCATCGCCCCCTGTGCCGATCACCTGCCGAATAGCTGACGCTTGGGAAAAACTTACCTGCTACCCACCTGTCCTGTGGAGAGAGTCCCCTCCTGGCCCATGGTCCTGGCCCTGCTCTGCCCGGACCGTTGTCCGCCTGTATTACGCCGAAAAGAGCCTTCTTACCACGTTACTTACCTGGATGCCAGACGGGCGTTCGGCTCCCTCCTCCTCTGTGGCTGCCAGTAATCCGGGCCCTCGCAGTACACCCCTCGGTCTCCTCCTCCCTGGAAAGAGAGACGAAGCCCGCATTAAGACTTTTAATTCTTGCTTTTATTCAATAAAGACTTTCGTTTTTAGAAAATCTTCTTGTCTGTCTGGTCTCTGGTACGCTCCTCGAGGTGGTCCTGGGTTTTGAGGGGTGGGCGCAGTCTGGCTTGGCCCCCCCGACCTGTGACACTAGTGCTTTCTAAATGACCACGTGGTGTAGGCAATGAGAAATGAAGGGATTTGTGTGTAGAGTTTTGCTGTAATAGTTCAACAAATCTGACTAATGTGTCAAAACAGGGAATAGTGTTCATAGTTCAGTGAAATGGGTGTGCTTTTTGATAAATGGCATTATGGTTTTGAAATTTTAGTTCAAAAGCCTGGTTATAGTGTTTAAGCAATCGAGAAAAACTGTAATCACACTCATTGGTGTCAGAAATTAACTTCTTTATTTTCAGGAGCATTTTTGCACATTTATGAGGGCTAACACGCATCAAAAACACAGCATGCTGATTAATTATGTTAAACACTTCCAACCCATACTAACATTTATATATTAAATGCTTAGACAACAGATAAAATAACTTTGGGTGCATTTTAGGCATTTTTGTTACTTTAAAACTGTGAATCTCTAGAGATCATGGGCTTCCAGTGATATTTTAGTATTTATAGTATACAGTATTTAGCAATGTTTTGAATGACCTTTTATTATTATTTTCAGAATTGTGTGCTTTTGTCATTTTTCCCCCTGTTTTTATTTTATTTTATTTCTTTTGAGTTTTATTTTATATTTACTTCAGTTTTAGTAATTTTAGTACTTCAACTTACAAAGTGAAATGTTATTTCAATTAGTTGCCAAGGCAACATTTCTAAGTTCAAGGTTAAAGTTTCTCATCTAATATTTTTATTTTTAGCTTCCTAACACTGTAAACCCTAACACTCAAAATAATCCATTGTTTTGAGTAGGGCCAACTCACATTATACAAATTAGTTCCATCAAATTAACATACGATACTTAATTTTATGAATACGATAATTTTATGAATATTTTAACATTTATTTTTTCTTTTGAGTTCACAAAACTGACACATTTTAAGTAAGTTGAATTGTTTCGTTGTTTTGAGTTCTATGAACTTGTTTCTTTTAATTTTGACAAACTTAAATTTAACTGAAACTGGGCTGGGATTTTTATTTCCCAGCATGCTTTGCAATGACACTCAAAAGGGAGAGTAAATGCTAAAATTAAGTGTCATATAATGGTTTTTGTGCCAGATTAATGTTAAGTGGGAGATTTAGTAGTGTTTAATGTTTTGTTATGCTAGTTTAGAAGAGTTTCTGTTATGTTGGGTTTTTTGGGGAGTTACCATCATGGCCGGTGACGAGTTTGGTTTGAGAACAGTGTGTGTTAAATGTTTTAAGTTGATGTACTCATTCCGCAAGGGCTATGATATGCTGATACTATAGGTAGCACTTATTGAATTAGCTGGTTAAATCCAGCCAAGTTTCCACTACTAAAAATATTGAAGTTGAGATTACATGAGAATTTTAAGTTGTGTATGAATTATCTTACTCAAATATTTCAAGTTAAAAGCAATTAAAATATATTATTACAAAACAAAAATCTGCAAGCTCTGCTTACTTACACATTCAATTTCTTAACTTAAACAATTTGATGTAACTGATTACCTCAAATTATTTGAGTTTTGCTAACTTAGTTATTCGGGTGTATTTAATCAACTAGAAACTGCTCTAAGTGTTTGTTTCAAATTCAAACGTGCTTGCAAACCAGTTCCAATCTTTAATTTGTCTGTGAAAGGTATTTTGGGAACATTGACATACCATTTGACATCCACATTCTTACAACTTGCTCATTCATGAATCACATCTAACTGGGAAGGTTATTGAATTAATGGAAGTTCACTGAGTGGGAAGCCTGGAGAAAGTATAATTCTTTCCACTGTCTCAGAACTGGGCTTGTATTTGTCTTTATTTTTGCCTTAGAGAGCGTCAAAGACATAGAGAGACTGTTATACAGCAGTTAGCCGTGCAGAAGCAGGAAAAAATCAGCAATGAGGAAGATATCATCGCAAAAGCAGTCGCTGAACGTGAGGCCAGACGGGCCCGAGTGCAGCGCGAGAAAGAAGAAAAACATGCAGCCATGTTGAAATCTATCTCTGCACACAGAGAATCCAGGGTAAATTACCTATTCCTAATGTTTTTATACATCGTTAGTCTCATAGCATAATAGCTATGAGGCTAACGACATGTAAACATTTTTAAATCTCCGCTCCGCGTCATGCCTAACAACGGCCCTCAGCTGTTCCACTGTAAAACATGGCTTCGCGGGGCTTATTGCTTAATTTTACCGCAGTGATGCTGGGTTTATGAGCATCACACGGTTTATATATAGAATTTGAAATGCATTTATTGAAATAAACATTTTTCTCAACTCTATATCAGAGGCAAGAGCTGGAACGAAAGGCAGAGGAAGAAAAACAGAAAGCTCTGGAGATGCTGAATGCAAAGAAGGAAGCAGATCAAATCTTCATGGAGAAGCAAAAACTTCAAGCTCAAAAAGCTAAAGAAGAAGGAAAAGCACTCCAATACACATACATACAAAAAATGAAAGAAAGTGCTTCCAGCTTTTAAAAAAAAATACTATTAAGCATCCACCCTAGACAACGCATCTGCGATAATATTGTCTATTCCCCGGACATGCACAATTTGGAGGTTAAAAGGTTGAAGCAATCAGCGCATTAACCTACGATTTGAATTGTACATGCGACTGAGGAATTTGAGTGGGTCATGGTCAGTAGTGTTGCTTTCGTCAACGAAAATTATGACTAAATTTCGTCGTCAACGAACCTTTATCACGTGACGAAAACGAGACGAGACGCAACGTAAATGCTGGTCATGTGACGATGACTATAACTAAATGTATAATGCAATATCGTTGACGAATAAAAACGAGACTAAATGTGGTTTACAAAATAAAAACTATGCTAAAATGTCTCTTCATTTTCGTTGACCAAAACGAGACGAGACGAAATGTTATTTAACGTTATTTCGTCTCGTTTACTTGCATTATTATTATGCAGCATTTCTGTTTCGTGTGTCACTTCAGGGGCTGCATGAGATCGCAGACGCAGGCGACTTCACATCCTCAAGCCCCACTCGCGGCATTATTTAGAAGATGCAGCTGCGCGAGTGTTTGACACATAGGCTACTCCGTGTGTAGTGCGTATGCGGTGCGTGTTGCGGTGTGTATGCAGGAGCTGCACGAGCTATTTTGCTTTCACATGTGCTCCGTTTGCAGTGCGCAACTGATCTACGGCTGTACCACAATCACAACATTCATTCTCTATTTTTTATTTCAAATCAATATTTTTAGCCAACATCCATTATGTCGCGTTGTTGAGGTAGATAGCCTACTGTGTGTAGATCTCTGCTCTGCTGTTATGCACGCACGCTCCTGGAGCGCATTGACGGACCGCATCCGCGTGCGTGTGAGCGCTCTAACCATATAGGCTCTACATGGGTGCGGGAAAAAATACGGAGTTGCCTATGTGTGAAACAGGCATTAGCATAAACGACAACAAACAAAGTTAAGTCTGACACAGAGAAAGGGATTCGTCTTTGGGAGAAAAAGAAGAAATTACATTTGGAAAAACTTTCATTTCATCATGTGTGTAGGCTACTTCTAACATGTTTGGCTGGTAAAATAAATATGTTGTACATTCAAATCAGAGCATTTTCCGTGTCTGGAATGGATGTATTCTTGAGTCTATAAGGAAACAATAATATAATAAGATAACAGAAGATAAGATTGTTTGAAATGGGTTTGGCTAAAAGAAAATTTTGGTTTCGTCTATACAATAGATAGGCCTACGTATAGGCTATATTGACTGACTGGGTTAAATAGAATACTAAAAAGAGTATTGAAAAAAATACAATTTTCATTGACTAAAACTAGACTATGTTTTTCTTCGACTAAAACTAGACTAAAATGTCATCAGTTTTCGTCGACTAAAACTAGACTAGACTAAAAAGAGTATGAATGTGACTAAAACTAATAAAAACTAAAATGACAGCTTGACACAAAGACTAGACTAAAACTAAAATTAAAACAGGCAGCCAAAAACAACACTAATGGTCAGTATAGACCTTAACTGGATGTACCGTAGAACCTAAATACACTTTCGAAGTGTTGAATAGCCAGGACTAAAGCCAAAGTCTCTTGCTTGATAGTGGAGTACTTTCGCTTGGCAGAATTACATTTCTTAGAGAAGAAACTCACGGGATGGTTTACGTTGTCTACGCCTGATTGCAAAAGTACGGCACCGGCGCCTACGCTGCTGGCGTCCACAGCAAGCTGAAGGCGATCGAAGAAGAGGAGAAGAAACGTCTCGACATAGAAGAAGAGAAATACCAGGCCCAGATACGAAAGGAGGCCATTGAGAAAGCAGAAACCAAGCAGTATACCAGACCGACAGAGTGAAAGGCCTCCATGTTCGTGTCTTACGTTATTAGACCACAAATTGTCGTGCGAAAAAATAACTGAAAGACTTTGTGGCAAAGAACACCGCTCTCATTGTTGAGGAGGAAACCCAGTTCCAGAAATACGCCAATCAAGTCATCGAAACAGCCGAGAAGGCAGGGAGAAACATCTACCCACTCCTAAAGAACAAGCGGTCAGTCCGTAGATACGGCAAGAGCGTGCAAGCGTTTTTATAATTAATATCCAGTTCTCCTGTTGCTCAGTTTACTATTTGACACAAGGTAAGGCTATTTCGATTCTTTGCATTGAGTGAAATTAAAGTTAAAGACCTCAAAATAAAAATGGAATTCACTTGAACAATATTTTGATGAGAACAAAAAGTGCCACATCAACTGTAGTTTCGTAGGTATAACCGGACAAAATATGAACAATAGCTAGGAAAAAAACAAGTGGCGATGAAAAACAAATTAATTTATTTTTTAACAAGCATGTAAACAGAACACCTTATCTCAAAGTTGAGAGAACTCAGCTTGGCGGAAAGATCTCTTTTTTCTCCACGAAGGCCCGACCAGCTACAAAGTAGGCAACCTTTCCTGCTTTCCGTGCCTCGTCGACTAACGGCCACAACTTCATTCTACCATCTCTGTCGGCCTTGCAAAGATCCTCTCTAAAACGCAGACCATTTTCCCGTAGATAAGCGGAGTTTTTGGCTGCCGCCCGTACTGCTGCTCTGTGTATACGCGAAGAGAACTGGATGATTACACCGCGGGCAGAATTTTCTTCACACCAACACGATGCACTGTGTCGATCACATCCGGAAGATGGTCAGCGTGCTCTGGCAGTAATTTCTGACAAATGCCAACCACTTCTCTCCTTACATTTTTTTCATCGATATTATCTGACAGGCAGTGTAATTTCAAATTCCAACGTCTGGAATACCGCTCCAATTCAGTGATGCGTGACTCCAATGCGCCGATCCGATTGTTCTCTTTCAACAGTGATGACTCGACTTGGGAAACTTTGGTCTTCACCTCATTCACATCATCACACACGGCGTTAAGCTTTTCTCTCAATCCGGCAATATGAGAGGTGTTGACCGCAACCATCGACTCCAGCTTATCAGGAATGGCTTTTATAATAACTTGGAAATTTGTTGTCTAATGCATACAGTTGTGAGTTGGGAGATAGAGAAATACGAAGCAGACCTAGTTTTGTCCAAATCTGATTGGCAGCGCATGCAGGACAGTGTGAACGGAGTGAATCGTCACAGCAGAAGTGTCATAGCAGCGGCTGAACAGCGGGAGGCGCTGCACATGCGCTCTAAAGGGCTCGTCAAACCCAACACCATAGCTGTGAGTGACAGCATCGCACTGGAGTTACTGCATTTGTAGCTCTCTTATTGTGCGGGGCTCCGTACTTCTTATGCCGGGCGTACACCAAAGGATTTTCACAGTCCCAGACTAAAGACCGGCAGTCTTTAGGAATCTTACTGGAGTCTCGGCGCGCTCCCGTCGTCTCGATCGTTAATTGTGAGGTGATAATCTGGAGCCGGCGACCCGATTTATGCCAGTCTTTCTCTAGTCTTTCATATTAAACATGTTTGATATTATCGCAAGTCCTAGCGTAGTCATAGTGACGTAAAACAATCAACAACCAATAAAATCGTTCTCAGAAAACCGGAAACAGGAAGCCATCAGTCACAACAAAGAAACACTTATATCCATAATTTCAACACAGCATTTAAAATTATACCCTTTCAAGACATTTAGTTCAAACTATTGTTCTCATCATATAATGATATAGATTCATAACCCCGGTCATGTGAAAAAGTTAGGTCATCCCATTAAATAGTCAACTCTTTATTAACTCTTTCCCCGCCAGCATTTTTAAAAAAAAAGTTGCCAGCCACCGCCAGGGTTTTTGACGATTTTCACTAAACTTTAATGGCCCGCAGAATATTTTCTTCTATGAATATTGTCAGGGTCTTGCTCTGGCAGCTTTGTCTGTGTTGTCTTTGTTTCATGTCTCTATGTTTGTGTTGTGCTTTAACATATGGTTTTGTTTGTGTTGGCCATGTGCTCCTCTGTTCCTGCCTCCTTGTTTCCCTGTACCACACCCTCTTGTCTAGTTGAGTCCTCTTTTGTCTGAGTGTTGTCACCTGTTCCTCATGTTCTCTGCTCCCTTGTTTGAGTCCTCGTTTACCTGAGTGTGGTCACCTGTTCCTTGTCTGAGTGTGCTCACCTGTTCCTCTTGTTCTTAGCTCCCTTGTAGCCACATCGAGATGTGCCTTAATTAGCTCAAATTATGCATAGGGAATTTTAATAATTAATCATGAATATGATTAATATATTGCATATTACAGTTAAATTATCGAAATTGAAAATGGATCGATTGTATATATGAATGGTAAATCATAACGAATTATAATTCCTCATTCATATATCAATGGTCTCATTACAGATCGATTATATGAGACAACTTTAAGGGAATTAATTTAGTTTATCAAACAATCGGTTTGTCCAGCAAACAGCCGTAAGATTAACTTACCAACTTCTCAACAAAGTTATCCCTTTTTATAAACTCCAAGAAATCTCAATGTTCCGGCCGTGAACATTAATTTTTCTCGTATTTATAAAATTTACGTTACTGATATAGTAACAACTTGTAAAGCTTTGTAGCTATGAGATATTCATTTCATTGACTTGTAAATGAGCACTTCAGGATCAATCAAGAATATGGTTTTAATAATTGAAACTACGGATACAGAATTGTACATTTGAAATGTAGAATGGTCCCAGGAGCCTTTTATAGCGCAAGTAGGCTTCGCTCAGGTGTGGCTTATCTGTAATTGGGGAAGAGACATTGCGCTCAAACACATGTATAGGAACAAACACCAGAGCTGGGGGACGTAATACCCCCACCCCGAAATGGTGACCTGTCGCCATACCTGGAACATGAGAACACTCATTTTTACTCACGAATTCTGTGTTTCAGCTCAATGTTTGAGCCAACCCAGACAATAGAGTTCCAGCTATAAATAATCACTACCTCGTTCAAGGCGTATCTCCATGCGAAAAGAAGTTAGAATTACACAGGAATGTATTATTTTGGCGTATATGGTTAAGTCACAGGCAAATCGCAACTATGCGCGACGCAATACCTAATATTGCTACAGACTTACATTAGGTTAGCAAGCCCAATAAATTAAAATAAATCCCAAAACAATCTATATATATATATATACATATAGTGTTGTTTTATTATTATTAACTATAACCTAAATGTATAGACCATATTCAGTAAATAAGGACACATGCAAGTTCATTTTCACAATAAACAAAACGTTTTTGTTTTTTTCCAAGTAAATTTTTTTTTCAATACTATTAAGCATTCACCCTAGACAACGCATCTGCGATAATATTGTCTATTCCCCGGATATGCACAATTTGGAGGTTAAAAGGTTGAAGCAATAGACTCCAGCGCATTAACCTACGATTTGAATTGTACATGCGACTGAGGAATTTGAGTGGCTCATGGTCAGTATAGACCTTAACTGGATGTACCGTAGAGCCTAAATACACTTCGAAGTGTTGAATAGCCAGGACTAAAGCCAAAGTCTCTTGCTTGATAGTGGAGTACTTTCGCTTGGCAGAATTACATTTCTTAGAGAAGAAACTCACGGGATGGTTTACGTTGTCTACGGCTGATTGCAAAAGTACGGCACCGGCGCCTACGCTGCTGGCGTCCACAGCAAGCTGAAGGCGATCGAAGAAGAGGAGAAGAAACGTCTCGACATAGAAGAAGAGAAATACCAGGCCCAGATACGAAAGGAGGCCATTGAGAAAGCAGAAACCAAGCAGTATACCAGACCGACAGAGTGAAAGGCCTCCATGTTTGTGTCTTACGTTATTAGACCACAAATCGTCGTGCGAAAAAAGAACTGAAAGACTTTGTGGCAAAGAACACCGCTCTCATTGTTGAGGAGGAAACCCAGTTCCAGAAATACGCCAATCAAGTCATTGAAACAGCCGAGAAGGCAGGGAGAAACATCTACCCACTCCTAAAGAACAAGCGGTCAGTCCGTAGATACGGCAAGAGCGTGCAAGCGTTTTTATAATTAATATCCAGTTCTCCTGTTGCTCAGTTTACTATTTGACACAAGGTAAGGCTATTTCGATTCTTTGCATTGAGTGAAATTAAAGTTAAAGACCTCAAAATAAAAATGGAATTCACTTGAACAATATTTTGATGAGAACAAAAAGTGCCACATCAACTGTAGTTTCGTAGGTATAACCGGACAAAATATGAACAATAGCTAGGAAAAAAACAAGTGGCGATGAAAAACAAATTAATTTATTTTTTAACAAGCATGTAAACAGAACACCTTATCTCAAAGTTGAGAGAACTCAGCTTGGCGGAAAGATCTCTTTTTTCTCCACGAAGGCCCGACCAGCTACAAAGTAGGCAACCTTTCCTGCTTTCCGTGCCTCGTCGACTAACGGCCACAACTTCATTCTACCATCTCTGTCGGCCTTGCAAAGATCCTCTCTAAAACGCAGACCATTTTCCCGTAGATAAGCGGAGTTTTTGGCTGCCGCCCGTACTGCTGCTCTGTGTATACGCAAAGAGAACTGGATGATTACACCGCGGGCAGAATTTTCTTCACACCAACACGATGCACTGTGTCGATCACATCCGGAAGATGGTCAGCGTGCTCTGGCAGTAATTTCTGACAAATGCCAACCACTTCTCTCCTTACATTTTTTTCATCGATATTATCTGACAGGCAGTGTAATTTCAAATTCCAACGTCTGGAATACCGCTCCAATTCAGTGATGCGTGACTCCAATGCGCCGATCCGATTGTTCTCTTTCAACAGTGGTGACTCGACTTGGGAAACTTTGGTCTTCACCTCATTCACATCATCACACACGGCGTTAAGCTTTTCTCTCAATCCGGCAATATGAGAGGTGTTGACCGCAACCATCGACTCCAGCTTATCAGGAATGGCTTTTATAATAACTTGGAAATTTGTTGTCTAATGCATACAGTTGTGAGTTGGGAGATAGAGAAATACGAAGCAGACCTAGTTTTGTCCAAATCTGATTGGCAGCGCATGCAGGACAGTGTGAACGGAGTGAATCGTCACAGCAGAAGTGTCATAGCAGCGGCTGAACAGCGGGAGGCGCTGCACATGCGCTCTAAAGAGCTCGTCAAACCCAACACCATAGCTGTGAGTGACAGCATCGCACTGGAGTTACTGCATTTGTAGCTCTCTTATTGTGCGGGGCTCCGTACTTCTTATGCCGGGCGTACACCAAAGGATTTTCACAGTCCCAGACTAAAGACCGGCAGTCTTTAGGAATCTTACTGGAGTCTCGGCGCGCTCCCGTCGTCTCGATCGTTAATTGTGAGGTGATAATCTGGAGCCGGCGACCCGATTTATGCCAGTCTTTCTCTAGTCTTTCATATTAAACATGTTTGATATTATCGCAAGTCCTAGCGTAGTCATAGTGACGTAAAACAATCAACAACCAATAAAATCGTTCTCAGAAAACCGGAAACAGGAAGCCATCAGTCACAACAAAGAAACACTTATATCCATAATTTCAACACAGCATTTAAAATTATACCCTTTCAAGACATTTAGTTCAAACTATTGTTCTCATCATATAATGATATAGATTCATAACCCCCGGTCATGTGAAAAAGTTAGGTCATCCCATTAAATAGTCAACTCTTTATTAACTCTTTCCCCGCCAGCATTTTTAAAAAAAAAGTTGCCAGCCACCGCCAGGGTTTTTGACGATTTTCACTAAACTTTAATGGCCCGCAGAATATTTTCTTCTATGAATATTGTCAGGGTCTTGCTCTGGCAGCTTTGTCTGTGTTGTCTTTGTTTCATGTCTCTATGTTTGTGTTGTGCTTTAACATATGGTTTTGTTTGTGTTGGCCATGTGCTCCTCTGTTCCTGCCTCCTTGTTTCCCTGTACCACACCCTCTTGTCTAGTTGAGTCCTCTTTTGTCTGAGTGTTGTCACCTGTTCCTCATGTTCTCTGCTCCCTTGTTTGAGTCCTCGTTTACCTGAGTGTGGTCACCTGTTCCTTGTCTGAGTGTGCTCACCTGTTCCTCTTGTTCTTAGCTCCCTTGTAGCCACATCGAGATGTGCCTTAATTAGCTCAAATTATGCATAGGGAATTTTAATAATTAATCATGAATATGATTAATATATTGCATATTACAGTTAAATTATCGAAATTGAAAATAGATCGATTGTATATATGAATGGTAAATCATAACGAATTATAATTCCTCATTCATATATCAATGGTCTCATTACAGATCGATTATATGAGACAACTTTAAGGGAATTAATTTAGTTTATCAAACAATCGGTTTGTCCAGCAAACAGCCGTAAGATTAACTTACCAACTTCTCAACAAAGTTATCCCTTTTTATAAACTCCAAGAAATCTCAATGTTCCGGCCGTGAACATTAATTTTTCTCGTGTTTATAAAATTTACGTTACTGATATAGTAGCAACTTGTAAAGCTTTGTAGCTATGAGATATTCATTTCATTGACTTGTAAATGAGCACTTCAGGATCAATCAAGAATATGGTTTTAATAATTGAAACTACGGATACAGAATTCTACATTTGTAATGTAGAATGGTCCCAGGAGCCTTTTATAGCGCAAGTAGGCTTCGCTCAGGTGTGGCTCATCTGTAATTGGGGAAGAGACATTGCGCTCAAACACATGTATAGGAACAAAGACCAGAGCTGGGGGACGTAATACCCCCACCCCGAAATGGTGACCTGTCGCCATACCTGGAACATGAGAACACTCATTTTTACTCACGAATTCTGTGTTTCAGCTCAATGTTTGAGCCAACCCAGACAATAGAGTTCCAGCTATAAATAATCACTACCTCGTTCAAGGCGTATCTGCATGCGAAAAGAAGTTAGAATTACACAGGAATGTATTATTTTGGCGTATATGGTTAAGTCACAGGCAAATCGCAACTATGCGCGACGCAATACCTAGTATTGCTACAGACTTACATTAGGTTAGCAAGCCCAATAAATTAAAATAAATCCCAAAACAATCTGTATATATATATATATATATATATATATATATATATATATATATATATATATATATATACATATAGTGTTGTTTTATTATTATTAACTATAACCTAAATGTATAGACCATATTCAGTAAATAAGGACACATGCAAGTTCATTTTCACAATAAACAAAACGTTTTTGTTTTTTTCCAAGTAAATTTTTTTTTTTATACTATTAAGCATCCACCCTAGACAACGCATCTGCGATAATATTGTCTATTCCCCGGATATGCACAATTTGGAGGTTAAAAGGTTGAAGCAATAGACTCCAGCGCATTAACCTACGATTTGAATTGTACATGCGACTGAGGAATTTGAGTGGCTCATGGTCAGTATAGACCTTAACTGGATGTACCGTAGAGCCTAAATACACTTCGAAGTGTTGAATAGCCAGGACTAAAGCCAAAGTCTCTTGCTTGATAGTGGAGTACTTTCGCTTGGCAGAATTACATTTCTTAGAGAAGAAACTCACGGGATGGTTTACGTTGTCTACGCCTGATTGCAAAAGTACGGCACCGGCGCCTACGCTGCTGGCGTCCACAGCAAGTTGAAGGCGATCGAAGAAGAGGAGAAGAAACGTCTCGACATAGAAGAAGAGAAATACCAGGCCCAGATACGAAAGGAGGCCATTGAGAAAGCAGAAACCAAGCAGTATACCAGACCGACAGAGTGAAAGGCCTCCATGTTCGTGTCTTACGTTATTAGACCACAAATCGTCGTGCGAAAAAAGAACTGAAAGACTTTGTGGCAAAGAACACCGCTCTCATTGTTGAGGAGGAAACCCAGTTCCAGAAATACGCCAATCAAGTCATCGAAACAGCCGAGAAGGCAGGGAGAAACATCTACCCACTCCTAAAGAACAAGCGGTCAGTCCGTAGATACGGCAAGAGCGTGCAAGCGTTTTTATAATTAATATCCAGTTCTCCTGTTGCTCAGTTTACTATTTGACACAAGGTAAGGCTATTTCGATTCTTTGCATTGAGTGAAATTAAAGTTAAAGACATCAAAATAAAAATGGAATTCACTTGAACAATATTTTGATGAGAACAAAAAGTGCCACATCAACTGTAGTTTCGTAGGTATAACCGGACAAAATATGAACAATAGCTAGGAAAAAAACAAGTGGCGATGAAAAACAAATTAATTTATTTTTTAACAAGCATGTAAACAGAACACCTTATCTCAAAGTTGAGAGAACTCAGCTTGGCGGAAAGATCTCTTTTTTTCTCCACGAAGGCCCGACCAGCTACAAAGTAGGCAACCTTTCCTGCTTTCCGTGCCTCGTCGACTAACGGCCACAACTTCATTCTACCATCTCTGTCGGCCTTGCAAAGATCCTCTCTAAAACGCAGACCATTTTCCCGTAGATAAGCGGAGTTTTTGGCTGCCGCCCGTACTGCTGCTCTGTGTATACGCGAAGAGAACTGGATGATTACACCGCGGGCAGAATTTTCTTCACACCAACACGATGCACTGTGTCGATCACATCCGGAAGATGGTCAGCGTGCTCTGGCAGTAATTTCTGACAAATGCCAACCACTTCTCTCCTTACATTTTTTTCATCGATATTATCTGACAGGCAGTGTAATTTCAAATTCCAACGTCTGAAATACCGCTCCAATTCAGTGATGCGTGACTCCAATGCGCCGATCCGATTGTTCTCTTTCAACAGTGATGACTCGACTTGGGAAACTTTGGTCTTCACCTCATTCACATCATCACACACGGCGTTAAGCTTTTCTCTCAA